GTATGTGGTGCTGAGGATCGAACCCGGGCCGCACGCATGCCAGGCGAGCGCGCCACCGCTTGAGCCACATCCCCAGCCCCGTGAATCTGGGATTTGAAGCCAGGTTCGTTTCAAGTCCATCTCGCCTCAAAGAGGCAAGAGCCGCAGGCGGTCTCCAGCCTGTGCGCTTGGACTAATCACGTCCTCCCTGGTGTAATAGATAAAGACTGCATGTATGAGTCGGTGGATCACTACTCAGGTGAAGAGTCGTAATTGGAGGATTTGTTTATGAAAGGCTTATTGACCCTCGGTAGCCTCTTCCAGGCCCGCCTCCGCTGCTTCCCGCGCCCAGAACAAAGATGGCGGGTCTGTGGTCACCACAAGCGGTGAACCCGATCCGAGTCGGAATTCCGCTGCTGTAGCCCAGCGGCCCGCTAGTGCTGACGCGTACCGACGTTGTGCGCCTGCGCAGAGAAAGCCGCGGGTAGGGGCGCCTGCGCAGTGCGCGTCTTCGAGCTAGAGTCAGACCCGAGTGGAGATAGCTGCTGGTGGGTGGTTAGAGTTGTCGCAACCCGGCGTGTGTGAAAGGGATCGGGAGTCCTCCCGCCAGCGACCGATCTAAGTTCAGCAGCGGCCGGGGAAGTAGCCGAAGTGCGGACGCGGCATGTCCTCGGTGCCTCGGGGCTGACAGTGAACGCGCGGCGGGCGGGATGGGCCGTCGCCGGGCTCCAGAGCTTTACCGGGCCCCGTTCCCGTTGTACGCGCTTCAGGTCGACCCCAGCGCGGGCCTGCTCATCGCTGCGGGCGGAGGAGGCGCTGCCAAGACCGGCATAAAGAATGGAGTGGTGAGAGCGCGAGGCCAGTAGGACCGGGTCACACCGCGGGCTGGGGACAATTCCGGGGCCGCAGGGGTGGCCCGCACCCCAGCTTCGGGTCCTGCCCATTTACGGTGGGAAAACCCGGCAGACCGGGAACCCCCGTGCGAATTTCAACCGAGAATTTTACTCAGCAGGCGGTTGAGAGACTCGGAAGGAGGAGTAAAAGCTGCACACCCGCCGGGTAGGCAGGAATGCCTAAGCTACACCTTGCGAACAGCTCCAGGGGTCTTATCCGGGCTTTTTCTTGTTGATCTGCCCTGTAGCAGGCTCCAGCGCTGCTGTTGGCCCTTAGGCTACCTAGGTTCCCTCTGTATTTGTATGTGTGTGTGAACCCAAGGTCTTGTGCCTGCGAGGCAAGCACCCTACCAACTGAGCTATATCCCCAGCCCGGGTTCCTTCACTTTTTGGAGTTCCACCCTGTTTATCTGTAAACTGGAGATAATTATCCCAGCCTGCTTGCTATACAAATTTGGAAAGCCCCCCCAAAAAAGATAAACAGCGCGAAAAACCCTGTGAATTAGAAAGTGCAGTGATCAAAAAGGGTAAGAACTAAGAGAAGTTTGCCTTGCATGTGCTCCGTGCACCCCTGAACTTTGCCCATCCTTGTTCCCTCTCTCATAGCACTTTCTGCAGCTAGAACAAATTAATGGGCGCCTAAGCGCTTCCCTGCTGCACTCCCATGACACGGAGACACGGGCTACCATGAACTTGGCACTGGCGGGTGATATCCTTGCTGCAGGGCAGGATGCCCAATGTCAGCTCCTGCGTTTCCGGGTCCATAAGCAGAAAGACAACAAGGCAGAGAAGGCAGGTGAGGAGCTTTGGGAAAAGGGTTAAATGAATAAGATCATTTTCATCTTTTTCTTTTAAAGAAGTGAAATTGCAAATAAGGTCATGTTAGCAGCTAGAAGCTGCAGAAATCCTTGCCATATAGAGAGCGACCAATTCTATTTAATACAGAGGGCTGGATCCTGGCAAGCTGTTTGTGTTGCAGGTTCCAAGGAGCAAGGGCTTCGACAAAGGAAGGGGGCAACCCCAGAAGAGAAGAAATCAGGAGCTGAAACCCATCCTGAGGGGGGAGAGCTCAAGGTTGAGAATTTGCAGGCAGTGCAGACAAACTTCGGCTCTGATCCACTGCAGAAAGTTGTGTGTTTCAACCATGATAACACCCTGCTTGCCACTGGAGGAACAGATGGCTTTGTTCGTGTCTGGAAGGTGTGACTTTGGGGGTTTAGGGAAGATGAATGGTAGTTGCAACAAGACCAAAATTGTAAAAATCTGAATGAGTTCTGGGAAACTTGTGAGTGGCCATTGAAGAAGAGGGGTGAGGATCATAGTGCTCTTGCTATCTGGCCTAATCAGATTGGTGGCTTGGCTGCAGGTACCCAGCCTGGAGAAAGTTCTGGAGTTCAAAGCCCATGAAGGGGATATTGAAGACCTGGCTTTGGGGCCTGATGGCAAGGTGAGGAGGAGTGTGGGAAGGGGATGTAGAAAGGAGTAAGGAAGTGCTTATACTGTTTGCACAGGAAGTAGATCCCTAACTAGCCATCTCTGGAATCTTTATTCCTAACTAGTTGGTAACTGTAGGCTGGGACCTTAAGGCCTCTGTGTGGCAGAAAGATCAGCTACTGATGCAGCTGCACTGGCAAGAAAATGGACCCACCTTTTCTAACACGCCTTACCGCTATCAGGCTTGCAGGTATGAAGACCCTGACAGTGACTAAAAGAGGCATAGCCTAGCTATGGTGGGGGAGAGGTGGAGGAACTGTGGCCTTGCCAGGTGTTAACATCCAGCATGATTAGGGACAGGAGTGTACAAACCTCTGAAGAGGAAGACCGAGGAACTGAATAGTCCCTTGCCTGGCTCCTAGGTTTGGGCAGGTTCCAGACCAGCCTTCTGGGCTGCGGCTGTTCACAGTGCAGATCCCCCACAAGCGGCTGCGCCAGCCCCCACCTTGCTACCTCACAGCCTGGGATGGTTCTTCCTTCTTGCCTCTTCGTACCAAGCCCTGTGGCAATGAAGTCATCTCCTGCCTCAGTGTCAGGTATGAGACAGTGGTGGCTTGGCTGGGCAGAGGGGTCCTGGGGGAGTTTGGGAACAGTCCTGCCCGAGTTCCTGAAGATAATGAACTTTTATTGTTTGTTACAGTGAATCGGGCACCTTCCTAGGCCTGGGTACGGTCACTGGCTCTGTAGCCATCTACATAGCTTTCTCTCTTCAGGTAATGGGTGGACATTGGCATAGCCCTGTGAGAAGACTGTTGGCTACTCTACCCTGAGTGCCAGAAGGGATCTGGCCCATCCATAGGGGAAGCCTGGTGGGGGTGGGCAGAATGTCTCCCAGAGGGAACGCTTCTAACTGGGCTTTCCCTCACTATTTTTCTTCCTGTCTTCAGCGCCTCTATTACATGAGGGAGGCCCATGGCATTGTGGTTACAGATGTGGCCTTCCTACCTGAGAAGGGTCGTGGTCCAGAACTTCTCGGGTCCCATGAAACTGCCCTGTTCTCTGTGGCTGTGGACAGTCGTTGCCAGTTGCACCTGTTGCCCTCAAGGCGTGAGTCATTGGGGGTTTGGGTTCCTATCCCACCTTTAGCTGTAGCAGAAACTCACCCACGGAGAATAGCTGCTTGTTTGCTTTGTTTATAGCCATCCATTTGCCTCCTCCTTAACAGGTTGAAGGTTTTGGTCTTCAGTCTCTGAAGCCCCTTTGCTCATTTCTCTCACCTCCACCCACAGGGAGTGTTCCTGTGTGGCTGCTGCTCCTGTTATGTGTCGGGCTTATTGTTGTGACCATCCTGCTGCTCCAGAGTGCCTTTCCAGGTTTCCTTTAGCCTCTTTAGCCCCTGGGAATCAGGGGCCTGGACACTGCCACCTTCAAGAGCAGAATAGAGGCCTGGACTCTTATTACTCCACTTGGATCCATAGTTGAAGCTGCCTCTGATGAGACTGATGGGCCCTGCTTGCCCTTCTCTGTTAAAGCTTGGTTGTGGCCCTGTGTGATTCTGGGTCCTGGGAGCCCTGGATTCATCACCTATGGGTCCACCCAAGACACTAATGTCTAAAACCTGGACCATAAATACTACCTGCCTCCTTCCCTCTGTCTACCAGAGGCTCCAGTGTTGAGCTTGTCCTCCTCCAGGAACATGTGAAGATGCTGAAGACCCTGGAGGTACTGCCGTCCTTCTCCCCTCACAGCCTTCAAATGATAACCCTGGTCTTTGTTGAGACAAGGACTGGACTGGCACCTACTATTAAGGCAGGAAAGGGCAAAAAGAAGACTCAGGTAGCAACCTCTGAGTTCAGGTGGGTAGTGCCAAGCCAACCAGGCTAAACAAGCAGTAAGTTCCTGGATGGTCTACCCCGGCCTTGAAGAAAGGGAAAAATGAACCTCAGCCCAGTAGGCAAGAAGAGTTGATATTTAATAAACAAGGGAAGATTGAACTGAGATCCCAAATGTACTCTTGTCAGCTCT